ATGCATAGTATTTGCTCTTGTGGAAGTTCATGAATGTCTAAGAGGCTGAGGATTATAATTCAGTGCGCACACACACCTTCTTATCATGCTAAAAGCATTGGGGGAAAAAAACATGGCATATTGTGAAATGTAAATTATAGAAAGATAGAGACATTTTTGTATGCTGCAAAGAAGATATATCCTAAAAGTGCCATCTTTCATAACAACATGTAAGAATCCCAATTTATATTGGGAGATATTCAAGAGTGGTGTTTTCTGAACATACTAATGCCCTTAATACAGTTACAAGAAGAATCAGCCACTGAAGCAGTAACTGTTTGAAATGTACTTCACACAATCCCTGGGGTAAACAAAATAAACCTCAGCTGTGTGCAAGGCTGTGTCAATAGCCAAGACCACATTTAGCAGCACACTTAACTAGATGATTCCAACTGAAGCTTCCAACTTAAAAATAAAATAAAATCATGATTAGATGCATTCATGAAATTCAGATCTCAAGGCCAAATAGAGATCCTAACATTCACGGTACATAATTGGGTTATGCCTCAACAGAATTTCAGGAAGACTAGCAAGCATGTTTGAGGAACAGAATTGCATTTGCTGTTTCTGCTGAAGGCAACTTGTATACAACCCTCTGAAATTCTCCTGATAAAGCCTTTTAGAGCTTTAAAAAAATAGGTATGTTGAAATGATTTATGGAAAAGAAAAGCACATCCAGTCTTTATATTTTGTGAATAAGCTAACTGTTTCATTAATGAAGGCAAATGTCAGACAAATATTAGGGGGTGGATCTTTTTAAAACTGACACCACTGTACTTCAGAAGTGTCTGGTTGCTTTTAGGTTAGTTAAAAGACACTTCATCCATTTTAGGTGGTTTTTTTTTTTTTGGTTGGTTGCCTTTTTTTTTTTTTTTTTTTAATCCTTTTTTCCTGGCCCTCTTAGTATGGAAAAAAGTCTGCTCTCTATAAATAATCAGGAACTGAACACAGCTGCACCTGACTCCCACATCAGCTTTACAGCAATGCAACTTCATTAAATCACAATGATTTCAACTGGTATGATAAGAAAATCCAGCCCATCCACACGTAAACATAGCTTTAGTAATAAGTCTCTCTCATCCAAAAAAAAAGTACTCACCAAGTATCAGTAAATCAATAAACCATAAAAGGAAGCATTAGCAAAAGGGGCTTAGGGCTAAAAAAACACCCTTCATGATCACCCCCACATTTTGCAAGGCCATTCAAAAACTGGTCTTCCATATAAATACAAAAGGACTACTATTGAGAGAAACTGAAATCAGATCTATCCAGACTTTCTTCAGGATACTTTTATCAGTTCTGACTCAAATTCAGAAGGGTTAGGTTTGAAGAGTTCAGAGGGAATGAAAAACATTTAGTTCTAGATGTACAAGTAAGGCACAATATAAAGCCACATCATCATCTGTCATGAAGGAAGTAGGAAAGGACGAGAATCATACATGGTACAGTAGAACAAGCAGTCCATCAATTCAAAGTGTGGCACCTAAGTTCAGACTGATGAGATCTCAACAAGAGCAGTTATGACAGCATGCTTTTAATATGGAAACAAATTCTAGAGAATCCAGTGTATCAGAAAAAGGAAGAGCTTTTGTTTGTATTAAATCAAAAATGTATAATTGTTTTTGGATATAGGATTAAAAGTGAATATTCACAATGCCTACACTCAAAAACAAACAAAAAATCCAGGACTTCATTAAGATCCACATACCATGTATGAACACTGAAAATCTTTAGAAAATGGTCTTCTCTAAAGATCATCCAAAAATGCATGCCACAATTGCCAAAAAACAGAACATGTACATTTGTTGGGTTTTATACCCTTATAAGATTTTTGTTTGTGATAAGTATACACTAAATGTATATATTTTAATGACACTAGAGGAAGCAGATTGTTACTGGCATTAAAGTACAACCATTTCTAGACGGTTTAAATGCCACAGAGTCCCCTGGTTAAAATGTAAAGCTGCACAGCTTGCCTATGTCACCTTTATGATAAAGTTAAACCAGCAAAAGGTCTTATCTTTACTCTACATTTTACTGCCAGGTTTTATTTATATCAAGTATCGCTGCAGCATTCTGACCAGCCCAGAGTTAGCAGCAAGTGGCAGGAATCATATAAAACGCAGTTTCTTTTTTTTTTCTTTTTAAACAAAGTGCTTTTCTAAGATATACATACATATAAATAGGTACAAAATAAAGTGTCAACATTAAAAAGCTCAACTATTTAAAAGCTTTAACTTAAAATAATACATAGAAAACACTGAAATGCAAGGGTATGGAATTCACTAAAGATTCAAAGTCTACTTTGAAATGCTAGACCAAAATCATATTCTGGTTTTCAGACAAAAATAAAAAGCTATAAAGTTGTATTTGCCCAGTATTTCTGAGCAGTTAGAAAGGGGCTTTTTAATACCTTGTCAGTTTAATTTGTCACAGAAGTTTTTACCTGATTGCAAAACTGCTCTCGTAACGTTTAGAAACGCTGCCTTGTCTACACAGTCTGCAGATAGGATAAGGACCTCTCGTATCTGAGCAGTGTGGTCACACCATTCATCGGAAAGGAACAACAGTATTCAGATCTTGGTACAGACATGGCCTTAACTTCACAAGAGACATTCTTTGTCGGGGTTTTATGGGCCATATGTATCTCCAGAATAACTGCAACATCGGCAAGAATTACAACAGGAATACATCTGACCCACTGTGTAAAGCAGCAGCCAACTCTCACCTCACCCTCACAACAACAACAACAACACCTGAAACAAAACCACCCACATTCCACTCAGATTTTGCAAGTCTTAAGTGGATTTACAAAGTTTTGCCTAAATTGCCCTGGGTATTTGTTCAGTCTCTTGTAGAAAAGACTTTCTGTACAGCTCAGTAGTGGTATTTTGGCCTCCTCCTCCCTTTTGAGTCTTCCAAAATATTTAGATACAAAGTAAGCTGTGTGCACATTTACAAGTATGTGGCAGGACTGCCACCTTTATCGGCCACTCTTACTGCACTCTCACCAATTCAGACTTTTTTTTTAATAGTACAAGCTTGGATATAAAAATAATCTACTTCTAAACAAAAAGGAATCACAGTACAAACAAACTTAGACAAACTAGAAATGGAGAAATTCCCCAAAGGGAGTGGGGAGAAAGCCTTCATGGACTTTTGCATTTTTTTTTCAGCAGCTACATTTGAAAATATTTGGTATTTCTATTTTCAGTAAACAGTGTTTTGTCATCTTTAAATATGGAGAGAAAGAACAGGGAGGAAAAGGGGTGGGGGGGTCCATGAAACCAGAGAATGATCTTGCCTTGAGATAAAGGACTTTCTCATCAAAGGCTAAAGCTTTTAATCTGTACGTTAACACTGACTACAAAGCCAACTCTTATTAGCAGAAGAGCAAATAAGAACTGTGTGTTAATATTCCTCAATCATAGAAACTACTGAAATAACAAGAATAAGTCACATATAAGTTTGAAGAAGCTAGTTTTGAAATACCTGTACAAAAATATAAAAGTCTATAAATTTTTTTTTGTTTTGTTTGAAGCCTGTGTTGATCCTTGGAAACATCACATGCATAATAATACATCAACTGGAAAAGTGGCAACTAAGGAATTAGATATCTGTAGCTCTTTTTTCTCTTTACATATATACACATTACAATAAAAATAATTTTATTTTGGTTGTTTGGTGGAAGTATACTACAACAAGCTAAATATTTTTTTTTAATTCTCAAAGTTGAAAACTATTTTACCAATAGCTTACTAAAATCCAAATATATTAAAATCTCCTACAGTAAGTGCAGAGAAAAAAGATTTAAAGACTCCGAGACGGCCACCAACTTATCTACCATGGAAGCGAACTACAAGAACAGCAAAATAATATTGTTATGTATGAATGCTCCTTCTGTAGATAATTGGACCCAAACAAAAAAATTCACAGTTCAGTAAGATCCCTAACCCTGACCTTTAATTTTTTTTCTTTTTTTTTCATTTGTTTTTACATTCAGTACAGTATCATATAAGCTGTGCAAAACTTTACGTAGACTGGCAGTTTGCCATATCAGTTGCATTTGTCTTTGGTACAAAAATAAACAATCGCATTAATGTGCAAGTATTTGTTTTCTTCCGGCCAAAGTACCGAAATTGAGTTTTCTAGAGCCATCTTTTATACAATACATAGACTCTGTGGCATATCTACATTTTCAACATATTCCTATATACATTCAAAAATTTTAAGAGCTGGAACAAATACATTAAAACCTATAATCTTACCATCTGTACATCTTGATTTTTCCCCTCAGGGTTTTCTTCATACAAAACTTTACCAGCTTATACTGATAGCTCTCCCCCCAAAATACAAGGCACAAAGAATATACTTTTTTCTCTTGCTTGCACAGACATTTAAATACTATATTAAGCTCAGAAAATTAAAGTCTTATATGGCACACTAGCTCTAATGCCATGTGTGCTATGTACAAGTTAATGGTTGCAAAGAAAGCTTACTGTTTTTTAAGAACAAAAGAATCCAATTATTTAAAAAAAAAACCAAAACCAAACAGCAAAAAAACTCCCTAAGTTGACGGCTTTACAAAAAAAAATGCTTCCTCTTATTTTACCTGGAACATAAACCTGTCACAATGTCTGGCATATGTTAACTTTTTTTTTACTAGCAAAACCATGTTTTTGCTTCTAAAACAAAAGTGATGTATTCTGGTCCTACATAACTTTAAAAAGAATCTTCATCGCTCTATTTAAGCTTAAAGCAGTTTTGAAACTACCTGGCTTATGCTCCAAAAATGCTATTAAGCATTTTATATCATGCTTTGATTTGTTTTAAAAACAATGGAACCTAATTGTAAGTGTTTACATAATGCTAAACTGACATGCAGACCAGAGTGCAATTTACAATGAAGTACTTGACAACACAGGTAGAATCTGACCGATGAGAACAGCTGAAGTCACGTCTTAAACTTTTGACATTGGTATTCGTAGCCCTACAAGGCCACCAGTGGGGTCTCCTTCTGCAGTCTTCTCTAAAACTTGATTCACAAATTCTGATGTCTGTCCAGCTACAGGTAGTCCTAAAAAGGGAGGGGAAGAAAACGTGCTCTAAGATTACTATTCATTGCACCTATTTGTACATTCCTATAAGGAATGCAAAGCCAATGAAGACTTCTGTTAGTAACCAACCAAAAGGCATAGACAACTGAAATTAGGAAGCGCTTCTTTTTTTTAATCTGGAAATTGCTTGCAATCTAACGTATCACAGATTGCCTGTCTCTTCACATACATGTAAATACATTAAGCTTACTGCTTACCAAGAGTGTCTTTAATAAGTACATTCAACTTTTGTTCCATGTTGACTCCTCTATCATCTTTAGGTACCTGCACCCGATTAACTATTTCTTGTTTAATGGAGTTGATCACAAACAGTAAATTATCTGCAAAGAAAAAAACCTGGATTAGATTTACAGCACATTGCCTCTGGAGCAAAAGAGATCCACAGTTGTCCACACACTGTTATCTGTAAGTGTCAAAGACGTCACATCACACTTACTGTAAAATTAAGATGTAATGATTTACATCTGTAAACACATTTTAAAAAATGTTTACATTACATGCATACATTTACATAATTTACATCTGTAAAGTAGCTCAACACTGCAGGTAACCCAATTTGCATATTTATTGAGTAGACTGTTTTTGTACCAAAAAAATTGTTGTGTTTCTACCAACCCTGTTTTCTCTATAAACTGTCAGGTATGACCCAGGTTACATGATGGTGCAAAACACAGACTTGTCTGAACAAAAGAAAAATTAAGATGTGAAGAGTTGTATTTACCATATTCCGTGTTGAGACCCCAGAGTTTTACTTTATTGGCTTCATACTGGGCTTTCTTTTTTAGTCTACAAGCCCTATAGTAAGAAGAGGGGAAGAATTAGAACACTAACAAAAATTCCAGAATACTAAGAGCATCTGTTTTTTTTGCCACATGACCTTATCAACCAATACTCCCAGAGCTGTGACGTACAAGATCATCTATCTACTCACTCACCTTTGCTGAAAGCACTCTGCTACCTATATTTGCTTACATTTCACACTTGTGGATTTTATCACTCTATCAATCATTTGCCCTGCAGCTAAGTAAGCCAGCTTCCAGTGGAAATACATTGTTATCTAGGGAAACTACATTTCCAAAGTGCCAGTTGCCCTGCTTTTTGATAAACTGGTAATTAGCCCATTGCAGAAGCAGGATCTCTTGAAACAAACATTAGTCAGATCTTAATCGTACAGTTGTTGTAATCCAAGTTTACTCATCCATGTAGCATTATCTAATATATACCTGGAAGCCAGCTTGTTCTTTTCTTTTCTTGACCTTGGTCTGGCAGTTACGGGAAGTTCACTGACTGGCGTCAGGTCACTGATCACCTTGTTCAGCTTCCTCAGTTCATTACCAATCTGTAGAAGTTTTCTTGGGTTGGGAGTCAGGTCTTCTACATCAGTCCTCCGCGACTTCTTTGCTGCATATTTTCCTGTTTAAATATGCAGAAAATTGAATTGGGAAGTGACACAATATAAACACAAACCCATGAAAAAACATTCTTAAATATGTATTTTTTTGGGTGCAGTTTAGGTTCCTTTGTTCGTTACAAGAGAATGGACTGCAATCATGTGATCCCTCCAGCCTTTCACAATAGAAAGAGCACTGCCAGACAAACTGCTTCATACAATTCATATTATATCCAGATCAGATAAGAGCAAATACTGCTGGCCAGGCTACTGGATGTGACAGACACTAGACACACAACTGTGCTGAAAAACATCTCCCAAGTTCAAACCCAGTTCTTTTGCCCCAACTGTAACTTGCTAACTCATGTGTTCAGCCAGTATATCCTCTTGCACACTCCAGTTGATTAAATTCCTAAATAATCTTATTGATAAAGTTCTGTATCAAGAAAAAGTGTCAAGGCCTGGTACTTCAGTGATACTGAGCTTAAATGATCCACCTAAAAGCTAGTCAACCCCTTTTATATGTATCTGAAGCTATTTAAGGTCTAGCTTTCCTGAGGAAATACACATATTCAAGACAAAATCTTTATTCCTTAAGGTTCTCTGCCACTGCTATTTGTCTTTTTCTACATTTCTATTAAAAATGCCGGTTGTTACAGACACTTGCATGAAAATGTTAATAAAACTAACAAAACCTGCTCCAGAAATATTCATTAGAGAGCTGATAATTTAGCATAATTTATCAGAGGTAACAGATGACCTTGGTATGTGTCTGTATGTGGAAAAAATCCCCCATGTGTTATATCCTGTAGCTTCCGGATGTCAAGTACTGTTTGATCCTACAAATCCCTTGCATACACACCTGACTTAAAGGTTACTTCCTCCTCCAACTGTCTGGTCGGACCGAGTCATCAAGACATGTTTAGTTATTTGTTGTTTAATAAGAAATACACATATAAGCCTTCATAAGAAGGAGCAGTGATAGGGACTTTAGGTACTGATTTCACTACATGATAAATAAGCATATAAAAACTAAGGAGATTAAAAAAGAAAAAAGTTGTCTTCCCTGAGTAAGTCTACAAGTAACAACAACAACAAATATTTTGGTTTAGCAGAAGGTAAACAGCCATGTTAAAGATAGTAATTTTCAACTGTAATGGAATGTTAACCAGGGAACCTGGTTTAATTTTCTCCTTCAATGCCAAAATCAAATGGAGCAGCCTAGCAAAGAGGTCCTGTGACAAGAGAACAAACATTACTCCTAGCAGCGGTTTGTTCTGGGTGATGTTAGCCATGTGTGGTACAGCAAATTGCTAATCAAAAAGTTACAGGAATAAAACCGTTATTAGACCAATTGGTTTAAGCTTCTAAGAGAGTATTTTAAAGAAATAGTTTGTTCACCGAAGAGTAACTGCTTCACTGTGCTGCATTCACGTAGGTTGGAGAAACAAGTAGGGAGGAGCAAAAAGAGACAGTGACGCCTTATGGCTTGTCCTTGAGTTCACACTGCAGTTAATGTGAACTTTGCGTCTTGGATCACTTCCAGCTTACTTCTAACACAAGCAAGACTAAAATTAACAGCTAGAAGGGGCAAACACCAGTCAAGCAACCCATCCAATGTTTACAGTATCGGACTGAGAAAATTTCAGATTCCTGGGGTTTCCACTGAAAGCTCTTGGAAGTTACAATTCTCAATTCATCCACCTTCCTCTGGAAGAAACCACACTGAAAGTTACTACTGTACGTTCACTGTGCCTTCCCTGGGCACTGGGCAGAACTCTGCTAATTAAGCAAGAGACTTGCAGTGTTTCAGTGATTTATTTTCATGGCCAAAACACAACTTCGCAGCACTTACAAGTAGGGGAGTCTGGCTACTGAAGGTGTCAGAACGAAAGACATTCACTTGTGACTAGGACTCTATTCTTACCATGATGGAGTCCATTCTTCTGATACATGTTACTTGGTAACGTATCTCGATTCCACTCGGATGGCCTCAGCATTCCTTCTTGTTGTGATGGTGCTAGTTGCTCACTGTATTCCCAGAAGTATCTTCGCTTGCCTCGTTTCCGAGAGCATATTGCAGTCATTTCTTTTAAATCCTCCACAGAATCATTTTCATACCCTAAAAGGATGCATTGCATTGTTTATATGTTGACAAAACTGTTTCTAGCCCTTCAATGGTGGACTGAACATTCAAGCTAAGAGCAAAACCACAGATGAAGCCTGTTTTACATTATCTAATAGACTTGGTTTTCTGCGTCAACTACTACTGGGTACATGCCTGAAACCCACGGATAGACATTGACCCTATGATGGTGCTTCACTAGTTGAAAAAAGACAAATTATTTATCCATTGAAAGCCCCTTTTATGTTCTTTGACCCCTTAAGCTCTATTGCTCTTCTTCCCCACAATCCCACCACTGCAGAGTACAGACAACAGCTGTTGGAGAGCATTCTTCCATCCTTACAATCTCCTCCATGAATTTCCTAACTCATCTCTATGTTTTAATTAATCTCTAATAAAAAAGTATGGAAAGAGAAGCAGATAATAAAGATAATAAAGAAAGCAAAATTATTCAGTCACAGAATATTTGGAGTTGGAAGGGACCCATTAGGAACATCAAGTCCAACTCCTGCTCTTCCTTGAGGACTGCTGTAGGTTTGACCCTGGCTAGCAGTGAAAGACCACAATAGAATACCTTTGGGAAATAAACCAAACCACCCATATCTATTAGACTAGAGTACGGGGGCTCTGTTATCAGGACAATGATCTAAAGCCCATAAGAAAAGACCATCTAAATTGAAGGGATCTGGACACAAGCTGGTCAATCTCTTCCTCACCTCTTTAGTGGGATGAAGAGAAATGATCCACAGTAGAGATCCACAATATTTTAGAGGTATGTTTTCATGCACTTGCTATGAACTGTTCATGAAGTACATGGAAGCTGTAATGCCACTATCCACATTGCATTAATATTTATATCATAATTACATAAACACAAACCACATTTTTTAAAATTATACATATGCTTTAGAAAATAAGACAACCCATACTAAGGTTAAAAAAACCCAAACCACTGCACCGCCTTTTATACTAAAATGCTATAGGATAGTTTACATTTACTTTAAAAATAATGCATTTCAAAACATCACATACACTGATGTAGCTTAAAGAAAAGCCAACCACTGAACCCTCTGTAAACTTAACAAGCCTTGACCCCAAGCTTGAGCTCTGCTTCCTCTTTTAACAGTAGCACAAAGAACACTTTCTTCTTTTTAAAACAGTCCATTCAATTAGTCTGTTTGCACTTGAAAAACAGTTGAAAGAGGAAAAACAAACCTTCTTGCTTTGGTCTGACTCTCACCTCATAACCCAAAGTATGTGCATAAAAGTTAGGTGCACAGAAGGATAAAATCAGTTCTAAAGTTCTGTTTCTAATAATTTCATCAACTCATCTACTTTGATTTCCTAATCTGTTAAAAATACTGTATTTTAAGACAAATCAAACAATGAAACATGCTTTATAAAACACTTTTTCTTGTATAGCCAAAATGATTACGACAATTTACATTAAATAAAGTTTCAAATACCATATTTTAACTGTACTTCCATTTTACCCAAATGCTTTTTGACCTAAGTATCCAGAATACTCTTAAAAACCCCACTTACTCTCTACTTGAAAACACATGTCAAGCTTTGTAACTCATTATACAGATATGTATAAATTTAGCCCACCTTGATGATGACACAGAACTAAGCCAACTGATGAAAACAAATCTCTTTAAGAGCTGATGTGTACAAATGTAAAACAAGGTTAAAATCAAGACTTCCTGTTTGCTTATTTAAACTACAATGAAGTTAGCAACGTAAATTATGTTGACTTAATGCATCCTGCCTTGCAACTGTAACATGGACCTGCTATCATTTTAAAGTTACACAGAATAATCTAGTGCACAATGTCCTAACCTAGTCCATAACATACAGGAGTGCAACAATTCTGTTCAGCTTTTTTTCACTGTACTCATCCTCCTTGAATTCTCCTCTTAGAAAAGATCATACAGCAGTCTCACTTTCTTCGGCAGGCTTCTAAGAAATCTGAAAAGGTTCTTGTATTTACGTTTCCAGCCCATTGCAATTCCCTCCTAAAAAAATCTTTGTTCAAATCCCTTACTATGGTTTTAGGTTTAAATTTGCCAGGGTTAAATTAAGTAAAACAGAGAGCAGGATAGACATGACTCTGCATCTTACCAGATTACAAGCAAAAACAGCCCCACCAAAACAAAATCAGAAAAATCCTTCTCTTTACCATTTAATCATTCTGTCTTCTGTCAAACTATTTATGAGTCTTTTTCCTCCAACTAATGGTCCAGGTGCTCAAAACAGATGCAATGCAACTTCCTTAAACAATCTCCATGTCTCTACAAGCATTTTTATCTTTAAGCTTTTTCTTCTCCAGTGCGATTGAAAACTGAATCAGTTGCATCTTCCATTTTTGGAATCTCTTGACTACTTGATGAGAGAAGTGGTCATTTACAAATATTTCCATGAAATGAGACAGGTAAAATACACTAGCAATGCCAAAAAAATTTAAGTGCTAGAAGAGGCCTGGGCTGATAATTCCCATGATAAATTACCTTTTCAGGGGATCCAAAACCACTAAATCTGAATCATGGCGATAATAAAAACATTGTTGCCCAAACTTGCCCAACAGCCAGTCACATTTTTAGTTGTTTCTCCAAGTTCCTGAAGCTCACTATATCTAACTATTTCCTCAGACAACACTAACACTTTAACAAAGCATTTATGCACTTCAAAAATATACCTCTAGAAGAATAAACAAAAGCAAACTGTGTATAAAATACATCAGAGGGTCAGCAACAACTAACAGGTTTTTGTCCTTTCAGAAAATTACATATTCACTCTAAATTTATCAACTGATTTTGGTTTCAGTATTACCGAAGGTTAAATCTTCCTGTGCCATGCCTATTTTTAGAAACTTTACCCGCAGTTATTTACCTTTACTCTAAAGGTAAAAAAGCAACATAAAGAACAAGAGCGACATAATTAAAACACCTGGAGACATTACTTTCTAATATCATCAAAACACATGGTGAAACTTTTAATATCACCAAACTTGAGGTGAATGGCTTAATCCCCTTAAAGTTCTAGCAAGCCTGTATAAGCCAAGTTCCTTGGTGGTTACTGTACTGCACCACAGAGTTGTATTTAGAAGGCAGAAGCGACTGCATGTCAATTTGAACAAACAGCAAATAGTTAATGTAATTCCACCAACTGAAATCACAGCATTCTAACAAGACATCTCTTTTTCAAAGCTACCAGGCTTTCTGTGCAACGTGCCTCCGTGGGCTGCACAGCGCTGTGCAGTACAGCAGCCACTGCAGAGCTCTAATAGCTACCCAGAGCCCCAGAAAGCAGAGGGAGTTCAATTCAGACGAAGGGAGGAAGAGGCTTTAAAATGCTAATGAAAATGTGTTATGTACGTGTGTACCATAAAGGGCATAATGCTTAACAAGTTTAATGCCAATTCATGAAATCCACATAGAAAATAACTTAATCTGAGAGTTCATTATGACAAACACTGACAAGCTTTAGGAAAGATGCTGTATTTAAAAAGGCAAAATTTCAGCTGCTTTCCCCCCTGAAATTACATATTGACAAATGTCTGAATACCTTAATTCTTATACTCTACTGCAAAGCATTTATAAAATGTGAATCTTAAAACATTTTCTACAACGGAACTAATACTTGGTTACAGCCCTGTCCCCTTCCCTTCAGATTTTATTTTTACACAATGTTACCGCTTTGTTACCTTCTAGGTGAAGGTTAGTTCTTATTTCTGTTGTTAAGGCTCCATTCCTACATGCAGGAGAGAGGAATTCAGTATCCTTTGAAGACCCACTAAGTGTTACTGCTGAAAACCACCAAGAAATGGTTTTATTAGTTTCAGTGGTAGGTATTCTTTGGATTCTGTGGAAAACTGTACCTACAGTAGGACTTAAGCAATTATGAAATTATTTTACTCAGGCTACGATTTCATACCAGCTATCAAGAGATATAACTCTGGATAAATTCAAAGCAGCAACCTACTGAAGCACAAGAAAGCTCTGCACATTCTACCATCAAGCCACGAAGAAAGAAAACAAAACTTGCAGGTAGTTGCTCTACAACCTTAGGCTACAAGCTAGGTTTCCTGTATTCTCTATTATTTTTGTTGCATGACCACAGTTATGCAGTTTTTCTCAAAACAGGGCAACAGAGACAAGTTTTCATTAATTACATTTTGCAAAGCACTTAGAAACTCTGGGATGAAAGTTCATAATTTAGGATCAGTATTGCTCATCTGTAACTATAAAGCATTCAAAAGCATTCTTTCCTGCTTGGCAGACAAGTCCATTAACTTCCATGTTAACAAAGCCCAACATTCCGGTACCTGGTTCTGAGAAAGTATCACTGATGTCGTCATCTTTATCATCCTCATAATCTTCTTCCTCATCATCATTTTCAGACAGCTCGTGCTCACTGCCAAATCCTTCATCATGGTCTTCATCTTCAATATCGTCCTCATCATCGTCATCTTCCTCAGGGTCTCCTTTGGCTGACTGTTCACCCAAACTGTCTGTTACAAAAAGGGAATAGTTGTGCTCTTCTTTCTTCTGTGAAGAATCTGACACTGATGTGCTGGCAGAAAGACTGCTCTCCCCCACAATAAGCCCTGGGGTTTCCTGGGGTGGACTAAGGAGCAGTTCTTGAGTCTCTTTAAAAGGCAAAGCAGAAGGCGTACTGTGACTATGTGGGGACTCTATTCCTTTCCTTTCTTGTCTTTTTGTTACAGCACCGCAATAGCAGGTGTTTTCCTTTGCTGCATCAGCATGTGTCTGGCTCAACACTGGTCTGCTCTGTGGTAAAGGATTGATCTTTACCTTTGCCTTTTTAACATACTCTTTACATTCAACATGAATGTTCACCTTTTCGTTATTGTACACACTAGTCTTCACCACGATTTGTGTACTGGAAGCAGGCTGAGTTGCAGGTTTGCTTGCCTTCTGAACATAGTCCGACAAAGGTGCCTCAGCCTGAACATTCTTGGAGGAACAGACTGGGGCTGCTGCTCTGGTTGCAATTTTTTTGCCAGGTAACAAAGAATTTAAAGGGTTTTGTTTTACACTAAAGAGCAAATCAGGGTAATAGAGTGAATCAGAAACAGGCTGGGAGTCCTCACTGTTAAGCTGAGCCAGTGTTGGTGTTTTGCTTATCACCTCTTCATCTTGGTAGGGGCTTGAAAAGTCATCAAGGCCCAAGTAATCCACCTCTTTTGTTCCCCAGATGTCACAGCTGGTTAATTTAGTGTATTTAGTTAAGTCTTCACAGTAGGTATCCCACTGCTCCCACTTTGAGGTAAGAGCAGCTTCTTTGTCCAGGATGTCCGTAAAAGACTCCAAGTTCTCAAGGTCTTTGCAGTCCTCCATTGAAAGCAAGTTGTCTCTGGAGCTTTGCTGATAGTCCATTTCTCTGTCCTGTACATAAGGTGAAAAGTTAAAAATTAATACAAAAAAAATTAATCATCTCTGTCCTCTGTTTAATCTCATATGGTGAGCTTAATTCCAGTGAAGCATAAGAGAGTGATAACATACGAAGATACCTCAACTTCCAACTAAAAGCTTTTTCTGAGGGTCAGACTGAAGTCCAGCTTCCACGCTTCAGCAGCAGATCTTTCTGAAGAGATTGCTAAAGACACAGGTCAAATGCCGCTGGCTTCTTTTTCTGCTATTACAAATCCATCTGGTCATCAGGAACCAGACTAGTATCTATATCCATGTATTTTAAGTAGGAAAGACATCACAGGCAAGCTGTTCTGGTCTCTATTAATGTAGGGCAACCTCTGCTGTGTGCTCAAAAGAATATGCTCAAGTTTACCAGTGCCTGGAAAACCTCATTCTAACATGATCAGTTAACAACTGTGAGCTACCTTCCCCCCTGGATGCAGGGAGAAGGAAAAAAAAAAAAAAAAAAGCTAGTATAAGTAGCTCATGAGTCAACTTTTATTTTGCTTCCCCTGCATTCACAGCTTGGGTGAAGTAGCTCTTGCAGAAAATATTGTAAGGAAGAGTCTCAAGCACCATTACATAACGTCAACACAACTCTATTTGAGACTTGCGTATCAAGCCTCTCCTGATGGCCAGCTTTAACAAGCGTCTGTTGAGGAAGCATCACATTTGCTGGACAAGCAGTTAGGCTCTTCCCTAATAAGAAGCTATTCAGTAATGAATAATCTTCTAGCATTCTTGAACAAACACCCCTTTATTAGTACATGAACTCAGGGTATTAGACAGGAATATAGAATATAGGTATAGAGGAAGTTATATTCACACACAGAAAGATGACCTACCAGTTCATACATGAAGTCTGGATCTGAACTGCTTGCCAAGAGATCCGTGCTCATCAGAGTCTGCTCTGAAAACACATGGCTCCGAAAGGCGTCCCCAAAAGGAGGGTCCATTCCACTCACACTGGGCTACAACAAAATTAATATTGACATTTGAAGCATGCTATAAAAAAGCATATTCTTTTCTTCAGCAAAACACAAAGAATATTGCCATTTCTTCCAAGTCTCTGAACTGGTGCTATACTTGCATCTGGAAGGCTTTTACCTACACAGATAAGCATGTCATTTCTCTGAGCGAGAGAATGCTTTAAGAGCAGCTAACAACAGGCAGCTCTTTATCAAAGGACACATTTGTATTCACCATATAGCTGCAAAAGCATTGCTCATTCATTCTTTCTTGTTGGTTTGAAATTCTCATGTGTTTGCCAAGTTTAGGGATATGTTAGCATTTTTAGAAGAGGAGAGCGAGTCCTGGCAAGATTTGCAAGTATCAATAGGCACTACACGCTTGCAGGGCCTTCACCCTAACACAAGCCATTTTGTACTAAAACAGCATTGACTGTTTTTAGAATAATGAGAACTCACAAAAATTCCACCTGAGATTGTAACAAAAGCAAAATTTATTGTTATATCTCTTGAGAACCAAGTGGGACTTTGCAAAAAAACATTACGCAGGATGACTGTGCATGCAGGGAATGGGCAGCAAGGCTTTCTGCTACATTTAATTCCAGACCTCTATTTCTCTTCTAGACACACTCGCCCTGAGGGCTGGGGAGGGAGAAACACTGTACTGCTGAAAGTCATTCAGTGTGCTGAGGTGTGAATCACTGCAGTAATAAAAGGTTGCTCTCCAGGCATCCACCCTCATCAAGACAACAACTTTGCTGAATCTTGCTGTGTGAACAAATACAGTACCGTGAGCAGCAACATAGCTTCCACCATAGACACTAGTGGGACCCTAAAAAATACGCACCATTTAATTAATCTCTTACAAATTTTCCCTACTAATGACAGTCAATTTTGCTCTTAAACTCCCCCTTTTATTTTTTAAACAAGGAAGCAAAATTATTTACAGAAGCAAATAAAATCATAATAAACTTGCCTGAGGCATTTCCAAGCCCAGATTCCCCAAATCCAATTCCAAACTTCTTGTTTTATTCACTTGTGGATTCCTTTCCAGCTTTACTTCCGTCTCAGTGAGTTTACACAATCCATGCAATTAAATTTTTCCTTAGGATAACTTCAGTTCACTTGGATGGAGCTCTTCTGTTTGCAGATTTCTGTGTAGAATAAACACAGCAAACCCCCAAGGAGGTAAGTAATCCTTCACCAAAAAGGTGGTGCTTAAAAACAGCCAAAGTGAAGACAAAAATTTTCTCTGAAAGTGATTTATTTCTCATGCTGGAATAGATAGCAATTTTATTCTGTCTTTCATCAAACGAAAAGCCACAGATGCTACACAACAGAGTTCCTGCAAAAAGCTTTTTGCCCGAGTTACATTTTGTTGCCTTTGTTCCTCACTATCGAGACCATGAGCTCTATAGATATACGAAAAGAAAAGCCTGCCTAATTGGAAATAATGACTAGCATACTGCTGCGTATACAAGAGAGAAACAATCTTTATAACAGAGCCAATACATCCTAAAAACATCTCATGCAAACGTCTCAAAATACTAATTTCAGAATAGGCAGTAATACTGCTTCAGCGCTATCTCCTCCTTTTCTTAAGAGATTAATCCATCCAGCATCAGATAAGATTATATCAATCACTCATAGAGCAACATCTAGTGGTAGAGAGATTACAGCAAACGTGCCCACGGTCCAGCAGGAGAGGAAGGAAAGAGACGGACTTCTCCAACAGAACAAATTTAAAATTGTGCCAAATTCAGAGTTGCCTAATAAGATGTCTGCTCTATTATTTTCAAGTAAGGCACATGTTGAAATTGGTCCAGTTTATCTATTAGCAATTTTACCAGTTTATTAGTTTCTGTAGACCCAGTGCTACGTCAGATGTATATCTTAAGACTTTTCTGAGCCTCACATCCTGCTTAATCCTGCATTTTTTAACAACGTAAGGAAAAACTGGACTGTAGAAAAGCAAGCACCTTAGCACAAATGTCAGTAACTATACCTACACTAGAAGTATGAGAAAAGACTCAAAATAAGCAACAGGAAGTAAAAAAGAACAATGTTATCTCAAAAGCAACAATTAAAAAAATCATACACAGTATCAAACCTTACTATCTAATGTAACTACGCTGTCTTCAAAGATGCTGCTTTCTTACTTTCTTGCTTGCCTGCAAGATCCCTACCTTTACATAAAAAGTCTCTTTAACAAAAAAGCAATATTAAAATAATAAAAAAACTGAACCATCATACTCGTACAGTTTTTCAGCACTGTCCATTAAAATATATTTGTTTCTTTGAGCAGAATTCTTCACTCAGCATTACTCCCAAGTCAGACTTTGGTGCAATCTGCTCAGGCTACATTTATTCTCTTGTTTTGAAAAACAAATAGTAAAGTGTAAGTATTCTCCTACACCAGAGCTACACTCAGAACCCTCCTCCCACCAGCACATGACAGCATGCCCGTGATTATTCCTACTTTCAGATATTATCTCAGCTATTTTGTTATATTCAGCACATATACCATCAGACAGTGGTAAAAAGACACTATGGAAAAAAGTCTTTACTTATCAAAACACACTGCTTTTCAAATAGCAGCTAGAATCTAAAGAACAACAATTACAAGTCCAGTTATCCACAAGCTGTCAGTAAAACCATGCTACTGCTGCCAAAGCAAGCCGTTCCTTGTAGGGCCCTGTGTCAAATAAGAGCCAGTTCCTTCGGAGAAAGTTTTCCTTCTGCTCTAAAACTTCCAGGGGAAGCTTTTTACGCACTTTAACTGACATTTAAAGTTAAGTTTGTGTCCCAGGGCAACGTGCCTCAACAAGCCCTGTCTCCCTTCACCCAGTAAAGGCGACACTGCAACAGAACTAGTCCTGACGATGCTATTGAAGTGGCACCAACGACTAACTCACTTTTCAGCTTGGCCTGATCTGGGCGAAAGGGCCTGTTCTTTAAGTCGAATAAATGATGTTCTCATATGCAAAGAAAGAGGTGAGAAGGATATAATCTTTAATAGCAATCTACACCTGAGTAGTATCTCTCTTTCCATACAGAGTGGCAGAGATTGATGTCTTTTTCAACAGAAGATCAGATTAATACTTTGACGTCAACACCAGAACACCACCATCAGCATCTGCATTCACATGGGAGACGGCAAAGTTCTGCCGCTGCAGGATATAAAGCGGAAAGAAAGGAGACGCTTTCTGCTTCTTTACTCTTTATTTTATGTTATGTTTTTGTTAGAACATGTACCTCAAGCCATTCTGCTGTCTTTCACACACAACTAGGAAAGGGGGGTGAAACTTAATCTGCACTGAGACCGATTTCAGTAACAACTGACCAACACTTCAAGCGTCAGGACCAGAGAGCTTTTAGATCATTTACAAATCCTCAAAACAGACATTATATGTTCAAAACACTTTTATCATCTCAAAGACTGGAGTGATCTTTTAGCTATGAACTTACAGCACCATTTAAGAATGACAGTGTGCGTCCTCCTGGGTCAAAGCAGCGTATCAGCTAATCTGATTGTTCCCATAATTCTCTTTATATTTAATTCTTGACATTTTATAATATTAATATTTAAATGTGATTTGAATCCTATTAGGACCTACTCAAGTATTCTACAACATACAATTTTTCTTGGTAGCTCTGTGGAGGAGGGAAACATGGTGAGGACATAGAAAGACACTGCCTCGGGGATCTGCACGATCCAGGCATGCTTCCTGCTCCCAAGAAAGCAGATCTACTTCCAACTGCTTGATAACTTTCCCAGAATCATCGAGGTCTTCATTAAAGGACTCACAGTGTTCACACTTAACTACCAGTATTTTTTTTCATGAACTGGTAAATAAAGATATATAGTAGAAGTCAATGACATATGGAAGCACAGATGTAAAATCTGAACTCGCTGTGAAGGAAAGCAACCTTGTAGACCACAGCTGAAGTCCTGTTTTTACAGAATTTATCCTTATTGGCAGTCTCAGCTCAAGACCGAGTTAGAACAGGACAGTTATTATATTATCTGTAACAAATGCAGATTTGAATGAACTGAAAGATCTGTGTCAGAGCTCAAGAATAGCAGTATAAGAATTACTGAAGATAAATATAGCAAGAATTTCTACTTTAGGACAATTTTCATTAATGTCTTACATCAGCCCTTCCCAAATGCAGAGATACAGAGGTGAAATCATGTTGTCGCTTCACAGCAACTGAACCGCAGGTGGAATACACAGCCAGAGGCACTGGGCAGGGTGCCGCCACTCCTTTTGGCAGCAGCCCGCAGTTAAATCAGATTAAGGTGCTTAAGGAACCAGTCCCTGAGTTGGTTTTGTGTCTGCAGATTCCTGAGTCACATCAGTGCAGAGCTGTGCCCCTGCTCCTGGGAGAAGGCTCATTCACCTCAGAACTGCTATGTTCATCTAACGTTTAAGAATCTGGGGTACTGATGGAGGCATGCATACATACACTGGTTAAAATCCCCATCAGTCATCAGTAAGTACACCGAAAACTGTTCTAGAGAGTTAATAATTCATTAATCTAACAACAAATCCTAATAAAAATCCTCTGAGTTTGTATTTACTTTTTGGAAATGCGCATTTAAAATAGCTTAATAGTGGTCCCAAGACACCCAGGAAGATTGAACTTCAAACAATCTAACGGCAGGCTTATTACATGGCATTACTGATGCAGCAGTACACTTAAATCGGCAGACAGCAGGACCTACGCTCAAAAGATGCAGCATCAACGAGATGCACGGCAGTTACCATGCATGTGCTGCTTCCCTAGACTAGTAAAACATCCTTCTGTACATTATCTCCAAAGAAGCCCCTGTAAAAGAAGAACCTAAACTGCCAGCTTTCAGCCTAACCTCTGAAAGTCTTCCTCAGGCACCTGTATGAATCATTTGTACTGTAGCTGTAACTAAAGTTGCTATTTCTGTCTCAATTCAGATGTATATTTTGTAGAATTTGAAAAGCACACAGTGTCGCTATACCATTTTATTGATTGCACAGTGCTTATTATCACAGCAGCTAAAAGCCTGTTAGATATACATTACACGAACAGTTACACTTTGCATGATGGTGACTGTGCATCATACAGCAGTTTGTCAAAGTTACCTTTTTGATGCAGATAAGAAAAAAGCATGTCACAAGAGCCTGTCAATACCAAACCTACAAACTCAGGCTAAAACATTACAAATGTCCAACTCTGAATTTCAGAGAATGTGCAAAAACTATGCCATGTATTTTAAAAGAACCATTATGCCCTGTTTGCTGTATCTGGACAGTTTACGAAGTACTGAAGTTACAGATGCAAGAAGTTCTCCTATGCTCCTCTTGAAACTTTTTTCCTTCCAGTTTGTGCCAATTTGTTTCCTATCACAGAACATACTCTGCTCAGTGCGATCTTCACGCAGAGATTATTTTTCTTAGTTTTGTTTCTGAGTGTAATGTTCTTCTTGGGGCGTTGTTTTGTTTTGTTTGTTTTCTACATGATTCTTCAATTGCTACCCAGATTTTAAAAAATTAATTACAAAGACGCTAAGTTTTATTTTCTGTTTGTGTGTTTTTTTGTTTTCTTTTCTTTTTTTTGGGGGGGGGAAAACTTCCTAGCAGGTGAGCAATGACACTCTTGTGGTCTTCCTCTGTTTCCACCCATCCTAGGCTTATTCACCTCATCATCCAAAGAAGCCCAGTTCCTCCAAGTTCCTCCACCTTCTCTACCTTAGATGTATTTGTATTAAAATGCCAGGTTAAGCACCTAGGACATTATGACCTTCGTCTTCTTTATCCCGGAGAGCAAGCAACAGCTGCTTAAGACACCCACATCCTAAGTTTGATGGGGTATGTATTGCCATTTGAAAGAACTAAAGATCCAAAGACTTTTTCACTTCTTTTAAGCCTCTTGCCTTCAGGAGAGGGAAACTCTACTTCACTGTCTCTGTTCCTTTTCCTCTGCTGACCTTCCCTTCCCCCCCAGTATTATTTTTCTAATTCTGCTTGCCCACAGACTTCAAAATCTGGAAGTGATACCACTGAACAGAAGCTCTGGTCTCCAATCACATCCTCTGGTAGAAAAGCTGATGAATTACCAAGAGGAATACAGCACTATATTCTTTGAATTCATACCCCTACACGTCAATGACTGCT